CCTTTCGGCTTTCGGTGGTTTTTGGTGTTCAAGTCATGGCACTTAGGCACTTAGCTCAGCATGTCCTTGCTAGTAGTTAAAGATATCCTCAGCTTCATTTCACATATTGCAAGTGTAATTCATCATTTTCTTCTCTTGCGATGATCGAGAATTTTTGACCCTCTTCACATTTCTCCTTGCGCTGCCACATGCTCTCATCATTTATTTGACTTGGATTTTAGAATTCCATGTCTAAGTAACCATTGTTCTTATCTCTAGCAATCATTGTGATTCTTGTCATCACACTTCATTATGTATGCTTGGTATAGCATAAAGTTTCCCTTTTTTTTTTTTTTTGGTGGTACCACAGCAGAAAGTTGCTTCGTGCTCATGCCCTTTTCTTTTCTTTTTAGAGCATGCCTCTTGTGTATATGCATGGATTCCTTCAAAAAGCTTGTCTAGCTTGATTCCTTCCAAAAACAACATTCAATGTGCGCATTTTGCCACCTACTTTCACTATCCATGCTGCTTTCATGAGACCCGAGAGGGATATTCTAGGTGAATTTAAAAGGAGGTGAATATGTATGTAAGGTAAAGATATATATTAAAATTATTTTACCTAAAACACTCAAGCAAGCGTACAAGCAATTAATAATATAAATAAAATAATTAAAGAATTGGAGAGGTTTAACAAATCACCTATTCTTTTTTTTTTTTTTAATTTTTGTTCAAGAGTTCCATTATAATACACCAATTTTATTAGCACGTAATATCAAATCTTTACATAATTTTGTTTTACTAGAAAATCAAATCTAATTCTTTTTCAAATAGAGAGAAACTCTATCTTTTTCTAGACAAATGATCAAACTATTTTCTCTATTTTTTTAAATCATCATCATAGCCACAACACTAACAATTTTATTTTCACATGTGAATTTCAATAATTAAATTAGCTCAAAATGTAATTCATACTCAATTTTAGTAAATTATTATATTATACTAGTGAAAAAATAACTTTAGAAAATATATTTCATTACAAACATGCTAAAATAGTCCCTCTTCTTTGCAAAATGGGACAATTCAATCCATCTTGATAATTAGGAGTGACAATTTAATCTAAATTCAATGGATACCAATTCAACCCAAATGGATAAGTATTTTTTGGATATTTTTCTTACTTGATGAATAATAAATAA